AAAAATATATCAAAATGCGTGTGGGTACTCAAATGAAAGCTCTTGATGAGTGTAACATCGGGGTGAGTTTATATCTCTAAAAATTTCAATAGTTAAGAAAGTACAGTGCAATTTAATTAATATCTTGTCAACTATCGGTATTTTCAAAGATATAAGCTCATCTCGACATTACACTCATCGAGACGTTTCATTTGAGTACCCACATCAATTTTTTATATATTTATATACATGACATATATGTATATATGAAAAATATATCAAAAATGCATGTGGGTACTCAAATGAAAGCTCTTGATGAGTGTAACATCGGGTTAAAAAAGTACTGTGCAATCTATCATAATTCATTATTTAATAAAACAAAATTCTATTTATCTATAGTGTAATTTACGGCAGTCACTTAGTGACTGCCAGGTTGCTAGTGATAAATTAACATATTTTTAATGGAAAATAAATCAGCTTTTTTCACCTCAATGATGAATTAAAATACCTTTTCAGTAAGATTTGGGTTTGATGAAGCAGCAGAATTGCGTACAGTTGGAACTTGCATTTCCTGCGCTCGATTAGCTGCTAAATTAGCCAACTCATGCATGTTTACGTACATCGGCTGGGTAACCAATTGATTTCCTAATAATTCTGTGGAGGAATCACCAATTAACAATCAATACTCAATTATCGGTATCATAAATATAATACCATTAAATCAAAATAAAAAAAAACAAAATTACCTTTAGCTAAATGCGCTGGCAAAGGTAATTTCGGTTTACCGGGACGTTGATTACCATTACCGTCATTATTGACCCGTGAAGTGGACGTAGAGCGCTCTAGACTGGAGCATCTATTGGGAATCGGGGGTCTCGGGGCGTTAGCAGCTTTGCCAGCTTTTGGCGGTGTGCGAGCTTGGTTGACCGCTACGGTGTTGGCCGACACAGGTGAGGCAGGTTGGCTGTGACATCCTGTTGAGTCTGGCGCTTGGAATGTGTAGACACTCAACGCTGGTCGCTGATGACCACCCTTCTCGTAAGCCGACGAAATAGTATGAGGTCGTTCATTGGATGTCTGTCCTTTGGATGGTTGTCTCTCATAACCCGCGGCTGTTTCTTGTAAATTGGGCCATGTGGCGTTCGAGAGCGGACGCTGCTGCTGATTTATATTTGTCGATCCAGTATTGGCATTCTGACTCACGTTACTTTGGGAAGACACACTTGATACCTATAAATCATTTTTTTTTTATTTTTAAATCATCTCAGTGACGTCATCGAGGTTTACTACTGCAGAAGGGACATCTGAATAAGCATAAGGGCGTTGAGAAATTTTTATAATTTGATTTTAATATTTTATGATGCAATTTATTGCTTGAAAAAGTTCAATCTATTAAAGTATACATGTGAAAATTATGTTGAGGCGTTATATATGCACTTGGAAGGCCGAAAAATTGATTTTTTTTATCATTTTTTCTGAAGAGAATTTTTTTTATTGATTAATATAAAAATGCATAAATTTATAATGGCGATTTTAAACTTTAGTAATGAGCTCTTTTTTTTTTTTTTACAAATAATGATTTTTTTTTGCTTTTGGGGATGATCTTAAAAAATTTTTGTTAATGTTAAATATTATTTGGCGATCAATCGAAGAAATTATGAAAATATTTAATTTTAATTAAATAGAGGCTTGACAAAAAAATTTTTTTTTCTAAGAAAATTTTATTCTTAAACTTAATATTAAATAATCAGAATAAATATTCCTCGGATCAATTACTAAAAAATATAGCCAAGAAAATTGTGTAAAAATTAGGGACTGATCTTATCAGTCATTTGATAAACCTTGCTCACCGATTTTGTAAGTGTTTAGAAAAAGGTGTTTAAAGTTACTTGACCTCACTTCAAGTTATTTGTCAATATATTTACAATACAAAAATAAAAAAAAATGATTTTTTAACAATTCTATGTGCATATAACCCTTTGGAATAATAAAATTATTACTGAAAGATACATAATTAAGAAATGACCTTTTATCTCGTGAAATATTGACATTTTTAAAGATACAAGCTCATCCCGATGTTATACTCATCAAGACCTTTCATTTAAGTACTCACATCAATATTTTATATATTTAAATATATTATATATATGTATATATGAAAAATATATCCAAATGCATGTGGGTACTCAAATGAAAGCTCTTGATAAATGTAACATCGGGATGAGCTTATATCTTTAAAAATGTCAATAGTTAAGAAAATACAGTGCAATTTTACATAGTTAAGAAACGACCTCGTATCTTGAGAACTATTGAAATTTTTAAAGATATAAGTTCACCCTGACATTACACTCATCGAGACCTTTCATTTGAATACCCACATTAATATTTCATATATTTATATATATTATATATTATATATATGTAAATATGAAAAATATATCAAAATGCATGTGGGTACTCAAATGAAAGCTCTCGATGAGTGTAACATCGAGATGAGCTTATATCTTTAAAAATATTAATAATTAAGAAATGACCTTGTATTTTATCAAATACTGACATTTTTAAAGATATAAGCTCATCCGTGTGTTACACTCTTCGAGGCCTTTTATTTGAATACTCACATCAATTTTTCATATATTTATATATATTATATATATAAATATATGAAAAATATATGAAAATGCATGTGGGTACTCAAATGAAAGCTCTTAACGAGTGTAACATCAGGATGAGTTTATATCTTAAAAAATGTTAATAGTTAAGAAAGTACAGTGCAATTTAACAAAAGTCATTATTTAATCAAATGAAACTTTATATATAGTTCACATAGTGACTGCAAGGTTGCTAGTTATTCATAATTCACAAGACAATAGTAAATCACATTATCAAAAACATTTATCTTCACCCTTATATAATTTGTTTGTGTATATAAAATACAGTGCAAACACACAGAGCAAAAGCGAAAACATTAATTACTAATAATAGTATAAATAAATAAATAGACAATACCTGTTCGGTTGGTTGTTTATTAAGCGTATCTTGAGATGTAAAACCTGAATCACGTGAGCTACCAGTAGATAAATGACGACGCAGCATCAATGTTTTAGAAACATTATTACCGTATCCTCCTCCCGAGTCAATAATTATCGATCGGCAAGTGTTGAGTCCTCCTAGAGGCTACAATAAATAACATCGACTACGACATTCATCAAACAACTAACGTGTAATCTAATAAAAGTGCTCAGTAGTTGCAAGCAAACGCATTCTATTCTATTAGATGAGTTCTAGATTTAAAGTACTAAAACACTTTTAATAAATCAAATAATTACGGCTTATATTAAGAATTTCACCTGAGAAAACGATCTGTGCCAGTGGTGAGGGTGCCCGCAGGCAGGACTAGGATGATTTTTGCAAGACCCGCTGCTGCCGCTGCTGGTTAACGAGCTGATGGAGCACATGGAGCTCTTGCGGGAGCCCAGAGACAACGAAGGGCTCGAGGGCGGAGTTGTTGAGGTCAAGTGGTGATGCAATGGCCACTGGCCCGAGTCACTTCGCTCCTTCAAGTCTGTTATTATCTGCTCGCACTGCGCTGGAAGATCATACGGGGCCAGCGTGTGTCGTTCCAGTTGCTCAGATACCTCTTGGAGATGTGTCAACTCCATCAGCATCGCTATTTCCTCATCGAGAACCGGCTTTAGCAATCTCGCGAGATGGCAAAAACGTCCGCGTTCCTCTAGCAAAGCGGCTCGAACAGCTTTTCGCTCAGTCTCTTCCAAACTGATTCGTTTGTCTGCGACAGATGGTTCTAATAATCTGCGATTTAGTTCCATGTCATCCTCTTTATTTCCCTGAAAGGATTCGCTGATGTTACCGGTACCCATTCCGGGCCCGTGATTCGTTGTTATTTTTCGAGTTTTTTTTTTAAGTCTTAAAGTGTCTACTGCCGATGTCCGCTGCTTCTTCAGTTCAGCCTTTGCTTTTTTGTACTCTTTTGTATGCTCTTTGTCCAGAACTATCAGGGCTTTCTTCCAGTCTTCTAATTTTTCTTGGAGCGGCATCACCAGTCGGTCCATTATTGCGCTGTTTTAATTGTTTTGATTATTAAATATTTTGTAAAATGTTATGTATTAACGGGTGGCGTAAAAAATTGAGGATTTCAAGTCTCATAAGAAATATTTTAATTTATATTATTAAGAGAATAAGAAAAATTTTGTATCCAGGATAGTCATATGATATAATCGGTTTTTTTAGTGAAATTTAATCATTCTAAAGGTCTTGATTTGAATTTGTGCCTTTTCAAGATTTCATATCATTCTCACCTATAGTTAATTTATTAGGATAAGTATTTAGGCTGCATTCGAAAATGCTCTATCTCTAGATACATAATTAAGAAATGACTTTGTATCTTGTGAACCATTGACATTTTTAAAGATATAAGCTCATCCCGATGTTATGCTCATCAAGACCTTTCATTTGAGTACCCACATCATTTTTTCATATATTTATATATATTAGATACATATGTATATATGAAAAATATATTAAAATGCATGTGGGTACTTGAATGAAAGCTCTCAATGAATGTAACATCAGGATGAGCTTATATCTTTAAAAACGTCAACAGTTAAGGAAGTATAGTGCATTTTAACATTATTAAGAAGTGACATTGTATCTTGTGAACTATTGACATTTTTAAAGGTATAAGCTTATCCCTATGTTACACTCATCGAGACCTTTCATTTGAGTACCCACATCAATTTTTCATATATTTATATATACTTCATATATTTACATATATGAAAAATATATCAAAATGCATGTGGGTACTCAAATGAAAGCTCTTGATGAGTGTAACATCGGGATGAGCTTATATCTTTAAAAATGTCAATAGTTAAGAAATTACAGTGCAATTTAACAAATATCTTGAGAACTATCGACATTTTTAAAGATATAAGCTCACCCCGACTTTACACTCATCGAGACCTTTCATTTGAGCACCCACATCATTTTTTTATATATTTATATATATTATATATATGTATACATGAAAAATATATCAAAATGCATGTGGGTATTTGAATGAAAGCTCTTGATGAGTGTAACATCGGGATGAGCTTATATCTTCAAAAATGTCAATAGTTAAGAAAGTACAGTGCAATTTAACAAAATTCATTATTTGATAAAGCAAAATTTTATTTATTTATAGTTCACAAGTCACGGCAGTCACATAGTGACTGCAAGGTTGCTAGTACCGATATTAACAGACTCAATTTTTTAAGTTTTTATAAAAATTAATCCTGATAAAAAACTTTTTTCATATTCGCATTTTTAGTTTTTTGATAATTATTCAATTGTTTTAAAGATCTAAAAAAATTTTCGTTCATTTCAGTATCATAATTAATTATGATTTTAAATTCTCTGCAAAAATTAGATCAATAAAAAATTTTTTAGGGGTCGCTCAGGATTTTCAAAATTTTTTATGATGCCGGATAAATATTTGTCAATTAAAATACAGTCCAGTAAAAAATGTATTGTTATCAAATGAATTTTATAAATGTTTGATTGAATTATTTAAATTCAGTGTGTCAAATTAACAGAAAAATATTTAAAACTCGTCGATATTGACATTCAGAAGTCGCTTGAAAATATTTTGAGTACTATACTTTGAAAGTTAAAAAAAATCTTGACCTGCAAGAAAATTCTCATAGGGCTGATTTTTGAAGAGGGCTCTCAAAACATAATAAACTAACATGTTTTTATACGAAACTTGAAAAAAATAATATGGTTCATTTTTTTGCACTACCTTAATGTATAAATATGAAAAATTTTTTTTAGATATTTTTCTAAAGTATTTTTTTACAGTGAACACATCATTTAATCTACTAACACAATAAATCTTAATATGTTCTACATAGTAAGCAGCGTAACATATTATGTAATAGTAATTGTAGAAAACGCTGAGATAATTTATAAAGTAGGTTCAATGTGACAGCGACATAAAAACATTTAAATCTTAAAACTAAAACGGTTTTTTTATCGGATTTTAACTAGTAAACGAGTAGTATTTTAAAAATTTGGAAATTTCTTTTCTTGAATAAAACTAGATCCAGAAAATTTTCAAATGTATCTATTTTTACTCAGTAACTAAAAGAGGGATAAGTATTTAAGTACTCAATTTTTTATGTATCAGCGTTTTGTAATGATACTAAAAATACCAGATGTTCGACAAATGTTTTTAATAAACAAACCACTTTTCAGGAAAAAATAACTTTACTGTATCAATTAGAACTTCAATATTTAAATGCTTAAAATCCATCGATATTTTTTTTATTCTTTACTATTACCAAATTTATTTGAAAATAAAAAAAAGCGCTAACATCTGCTACTTTCACTCTCATTATTTGTATTATGCACCATCAGGTATTACTTCATTGAATATTCTTACAACAATGAAGAATGTTTCAATGGACAAATGAAATTTTTACCCTTCTTAAGTCGCAAAGTAACAATAACTAATAAATAATGACGATGAAAGCAGTAGACATTTAATAGTTTTTACAAAACTTGAAAAAAAATTCTGATAATAAAATGAAGAGATATTTGATAATTTTTTAACAAATAATATATTGAAAAAAAAAAAAAAAAAATAATTCCAAACTAGCAGCCTTGCAGTAACTATGTGTCTGCCGTGACTTGTGAATTATTAATAAATAAAATTTTGCTTTATTGAATAATGACTTTTGTTAAATTCTACTGCACTTTCTTAAATATTGACGTTTTTAAAGACATAAGCTCATTCCGATGTTACATTCATCAAGAGCTTTCATTTGAGTACCCACATGCATTTTCATATATTTTTCATAAATTTATACATATATATATATATATATGTAAAATATATGAAAAATTGATGTGGGTACTTAAATGAAAGGTTTCGATGAGTGTAACATCGGGATGAGCTTATATCTTTAAAAATGTCAATAGTTCACAAGATACAAGGTCACTTCTTAATAATGTTAAAATGCACTATGCTTCCTTAACTATTGACGTTTTTAAAGACATAAGCTCATTCCGATGTTACATTCATCAAGAGCTTTCATTTGAGTACCCACATGCATTTTGACATATTTTTCATATATACATATATATAACATATATAAATATATGAAAAATTGATGTGGGTACTCAAATGAAAGGTCTTGATGAGTGTTACATCAGGATGAGCTTATATCTTTAAAAATGTCAGTAGTTCTCAAGATCCAAGGCCGTTTCTTAATTATGTTAAATTGCACTGTACTTTCTTAACTATTGACATTTTTAAAGACATAAGCTCATCCTGATGTTACGCTCATCAAAAGCTTTCATTTGAGTACCCACATGCATTTTTATATGTTTTTCATACATACATATATATATATGATATATATAAATATATGAAAAAATGATATGAAACCTTGATAAGGCACAAATTCAAATCAAGACCTTTGCAATGACACTACATTTCTCTAGAAAACCGATTTTATCATGACTATCCTGGACACAAAATTTTTCTTATTCTCTTTAAAAAATTGTAAAAATCCATAAAAAAAATTCATTTGTTAAATAAAATAAAAGAGTAAAGTATCTACTGATTTCAGAGTCATAACAATTTATATTGTAAAAAAAAAAAATAAAGAATAATATCCAAGTTAATCTGTTAACTTGATACCCAGAATAAACAAGAAGATTAAAAATAAAAATTACCAAGTAAATGATTTCATTCTCGTTTCAACGGCTTTGTGTCTCAAGCATATCCTCGTCAAGGCAGTGCCAATTTCTTTGGTCGCTCCTAAACAAATAAATCCTCCATCAGTGTCAATCCCCAATAAAGCGCAAAAACAAAGTAATAAAAACAATTGATCTAAACAAGCAAACAATTGACCAGAGTGACCCAACAAATAAACAAACCAACAAATAGACAACAATTACCCCTAGCACTGGTAGCAGCATCAGCGATTTTCTGGAAGGCCTCCAGATAAGCTGACACCGCGAGTATCGCTGCTTTCAGACAAGTGTGCAGCTTGGTCGCTTTTGATATCAGGTCGTCCCAAAGCGGAGCTCCATTCTGTAACCAAAATAAATAATAATCATTATCATAAATTTAAAAAAAAAAAAAATATAAACAAAAGTATGTCATTCGTCACGCAATAACCACCCACCGACCTTCATATCCGTAATAATCTGGTGAAAAAGTCCACCCAGAGCGCTGCAATCTCGATCAACATTGACATCCATGACGCCGTTCTTCTTTTTTTGCTATCAGTCAAATCTTCCCTTGTCAATCTCCGGTAATTCACTACTTAATTCACTAACAAACACTGGACTAAAATCCACACATTTTATTTATTTTATTTTTTTTTTTATAAACTAAAATTTATTTTACCACTTAATTAAAAAAATGTAATTTTTTAAATTGCCAATTGTAATTTTTATCGCTATTGTTATTATTAATTTTTAATTATTATAATTAATAAAATATTGTCAAATGTTTATTAAATAAATATAATAAAAGTCACCCCCTGACAATCACCATTTAACGCCATCGACCCACTCTCTGATATTCGAACACGGCGCAATTAAACGGTCCTTGTCCTGACCCAATAGTTACAGTATATATTTTTTCTTAAATATATATGCGCACATACATCCTGTACTCAGGATAAAATAATAAGATAAAATATTTAATATTTAATATTTAATAAAATTAATTAATGTTGATGATAGTCTCTTTTTTTATTATTAAAAAAAAATAATATTTAATATTTAATATTTAATAATAATAATAATAAAGAGTAAATATAAACTTAAAAGTGCGGGCTTTTAAAACAACATTTAAAGACCGAGAAATAAATCGCGAATAAATCGCGCGACTCACCACAGACTCACTGGAGCTACAGCTAACAGTTCTAATCTTATTCTCTTGAGTCTTTTTCCACCATCCACCATCACCATCCACAGCCACAACTATACTTACTCTACTTCCATCCACAATCCACTCTTTACTCTTTGTGATCTATATACATAGATATATAGATATAGGATATAACTGGTGTTTATATGCATAATAATAATAATAATAATAATAATAATAATAATAATAATAATAATAATAATAATGGCAAAGCCAATGAACGCCGCGAAGAGTAAGAGGAAGTAAGAAACTTGTCCGCGTGACGGAGCCACTTTCTAGGGGCATGGTTGGTCATCACCATCACTCGACACGATAGTATGTACGATACTCCAGAACCTCAACCCTAAGGTGACTGTGACTGTGACAGCTTCCGACTGTAAGTTGCAAGTTGCAAGTTTCATTGACCTGTACCTCTCTACGTACTTGTACTCAGTGATCGTTTTGTTTATAATGTTAACATTACTCACTTGGACTCTGGATATTATTTATTTGTTATATTAGTAATTTCTGTTTTGTAAAATTGGTGATTTGATTTGATTGTTGCTCTTTATCTAACAAGTAAGTTTTATTATGGGAATTATTGATGATTGTTTATTGATTATTGATTGTAATTGTTATTGTTTTTAGGTGACCTTGACATTTAATAAAGGTGGAAGAGTTTTTTGAAATTACTGGGGGTAAAAAGAGGAATTTTGTGGGTGTGATTTAAAATTCAAGAGATATTTAAGTTAGTAATTTAATAGTTTATGAATCTTTGACGTTTTTTAGGTTAAATTTAATAAGGAGCATTTAATTGTTGTTTTTTTTAAATTGTTATGAAATTTTAATTTTTTTTTACTAAATAAATTATAATGTAATTTTTTTATAGGCATTACCGGGTGACATTCTCAAAATAATTTAATATAGATTGTTGATGACTAAGAAAAATTTTGTTGAAAAGATAGTCATTATAAAATCGGTTTTTTTTAGAGAAATTTAGGATCATTGTAAAGTTCTTGACTTAAATTTGTGCCTTTTCAAGGTTTCATGACATTCTCATTGATAGTCAATTTTTGATGATAAATTTCAAAAATGCTCTATCTTTAGATACATAATTAAAAAATGACCCTGTATCTTGAGAACTATTGAAATTTTTAAAGATATAAGCTCATTTTGATGTTACACTCATCAAGACCTTTCATTTGAGTACCCACATCAATTTTTCATATATTTATATATATTATATATATTTCACAAATACCATATATGTAAAATATATAAAAAATGCCATGTGGGTACTTGAATGAAAGAAGGTCTCAATTAGAGTAACTTCAAAATGAGTTTATGTCTTAATAAATGTCAATAACTAAGAAATGACCTTGTATCTTTTGAACTAATGACGTTTTTAAAGATATAAGCTCATTCCGATGTTGCACTCATCGAGACCTTTCATTTGAGTATCCACATCAATTTTTCATATATTTATATATATTATATATATGTATATATGAAAAATATATCAAAATGCATGTGGGTACTCAAATGAAAGCTCTTGATAAGTGTAACATCGGGATGAGCTTATTTCTTTACAAATGTCAATAGTTAAAAAAGTACAGTGCAATTTAACAAAATTCATTATTTAATAAAGCAAAATGTTCTTTATTTATAGTTTACAAGTCATGGAAGTCACATAGTGACTGCAAAGTTGCTAGTAGTAGTTAATAGTGTAACAAAACTTCGAGCAAATTTTTAAAAATTGGATGAAAATCATTTGTGTAGTTTATATTTATTTAAATAATTGTTTCGTATTAGGGTCTATAATACTTTAATCCATAGAAGTGATGTTTAGAATTTTTTGTGAACTATCACATATTTTTTTTCTTAATGTTTATTAACAAAAGAATAATTAAAAAAAAAAATTTTTTTTTAATTTTACAAAAATAAAAAAATTGCAAATTTTTCAAATATTGAATACCAAAACAAGCATTAAAAGTCACTTTTTAACTTCATTTTATTAATAATTTTCAGTAGTCATAAAATTTTTGTTTAAATATTAAGAAAATGTCCATGTTACTAAAAAATTACCATATTTTTTATAGGATGAGCGAAACCGAGATGATGACAAATGGCTGTAGCAAAGACCCGAGCAACACAGCGATAATGATAACCGAGCAGGAGCGCGACTTGGCAAACAGCGCGTTAAATGAGTTCAAAAAGCGCAACTACATAAGCTGCTTGACGTACCTCAACAAGCTTGAAGCTCTTCGCCCGAAAGATCTGAAAGTGATGCACAATAAAATCATCGTCGAGTATTACAAGAGCGACTTGACCAAGACGGAGCTGGCACGGAAGAGTTTGAACGCGATTTGCGGATCTCCTTCATCACCAGTAACAGTAACTTCCTCGGAGGATGCTGGAGATACAGCCAGCGACGGAACCGACGACGCTGAAAAGTGCGTGATGAGATACAACCAGGCTGTGCTGCTGTATCACAACCGGCAGTATGATCTCGCTTTACAGATCCTGGAAAAATTGTTCAGCTTTGTCGAGCCGATGGGTATGTATGTCAAGCAACTAGTTCATGCGTTTATTAACATATTTACTAATTAATTAATTAATTAATTAAATCTATAAATTGATAATTATGGATGAATGAATTATTATGCTTAGGTTCTTTATCATGATTAAATAATTAATATTATTCACGGTCTGTTTCAGAGGAAAATTTAGCTTGGAAATTATGCTCTATCTCTAGATACATAATTAAGAAACGACCTTGTATCTTGTGAACCATTGACATTTTTAAAGATATAAGCTCATCTTGACATTACACTCATCGAGACCTTTCATTTGAGTACCCACATCAATTTTTCATATATTTATATATATTTCATATATTTATATATATTTACATATATGAAAAATATATCAAAATGCATGTGGGTACTCAAATGAAAGCTCTTGATGAGTGTAACTCCGGGATGAGCTTATATCTTTAAAAACGTCAATAGTTAAGAAAGTACAGTGCAATTTAACAAAATTAAGAAACGACTTTGCATCTTGTGAACCATTGACATTTTAAAGATATAAACTCATCTTGACATTACACTCATCGAGACCTTTCATTTGAGTACCCACATCAATTTTTCACATATTTATATATATTTCATATATTTATATATATGAAAAATATATCAAAAATGCATGTGGGTACTCAAATGAAAGCTCTTGATGAGTGTAACATCGGGATGAGCTTATATCTTTAAAAACGTCAATAGTAAAGAAAGTACAGTGCAATTTAACATAATTAAGAAACGACTTTGTATCTTGTGAACCATTGACATTTTTAAAGATATAAGCTCATCCTTACATTACCCTCATCGAGACCTTTCATTTAAGTACCCACATCAATTTTTCATATATTTATACATATTACATATATGTATATATGAAAAATATATAAAAATGCATGTGGGTATTCAAATGAAAGCTCTTGATAATTGTAACATCGGGATAAGCTTATATCTTTAAAAACATCAATAGTTAAGAAAGTAAAGTACAATTTAACATAATTAAGAAATTACCTAGTATCTTGTGAACGATTGACATTTTTAACGATATAAGCTTATCCCGATTAAATAATCTATAAATTGATAATTATAAATTATGGATAAATGAATTATTATGCTTAGCTTATTTATCAGGATTAAATAATTATTATTATTCACGGTCTGTTTCAGAGGAAAATTTAGCTTGGAAAGTCTGTTTGTTTCTCATTGAGCTCTACATCCAGACCAACAGACTTGCGTTGGCTTTGGCGCTTGTTAATTACGTCGAGAATCAATTTATTTGCAGCAACGTCGCGGATACTAAAATAAACGCAGCTTCCTCATCATCGAGTTCGATTAATTTAGAAAAAGAAAAAGATAAAGAGACTTGTAGAATAATTTTAAAGGAAAAAAAAAATGATAATTGGCTGCCGAGCAATTCAGATTCAAATAATGAAATGTTTCGGATAAAATTACTTAAATATAAAGTAAGACTTTTGTTGCTACTGCAGCACCCGAAGCTCTGTAAGAAAGAGTGGAAGCTGCTGATGTCTTTGACTGGAAATTCAAGTCCAGGAGCTGAAGTAGAAAAAGTTGGATCTATTTCGACGGTATTTTTAAAGGCTCATCTGGAGTACGTAAAAGGGAATTACGGTAAGTCTATGACTCTGTTGAACTCCTGTACAGGAAGCAGCGCTGATCTAGACTATAAAATTCATGGAGAGTCAGCGGCTGTTATTTATTACAATAATATCGCGTGTGTGCATTTTGCGAGAGGCAAGCCCAACTTGGCAGCGTTTTATTTAAAACGCGCGTTAGTAGAAAATAAGAAAGCGATTGATGCTGCGAGGGTTAAGGATAACAATTCTAATAATTCGGGGAGTGATAGCTCGGCGCAATTTTTGTACACTCTGGGAGCCGGAGATAAGCATCATGAGCTGATGTTTAATTTAGGCGTCGCGCTTCTGGGTGCTAATCAAGCCACCAAGGCCTTTGATTGCTTCACTGAAGCTGCTAGAGGATGCACAAGGCTGCACAACAGCCCGGAACTTTGGTTACGGATGGCTGAGTGCTGCATTCATTGTTATAAACCAGTAAGATTTGTTTTGTAGTTTATTGATGTTGATTGTTGTATACTTGGGCGGATTAAAAAAATTAACTGTTATTTTTTTTTTCGAGTCCACAAAAATCAGCTTGATAAAAAAACTTTATGGGGTTCAAAATTTTTAAAAATTTCTTTAAATGCCGGATAGATATTTTTTAATTAACAATTGTTGTTTAATCTTTATTATCAAGAGAATAAGAAAAATTTTGTGTTCAGGATAGTCAATATAAAATCGGTTTTTTAGAGAAATTTAGGGTCATTACAAAGGTCTTAACTTGAATTTGTGCCTTTTCAATGTTTCATATCATTCTCACCGATAGTTAATTTATTATGATAAGTATTTAGGCTGGATTGAAAAATGCTCTATTTCTAGATACATAATTAAGAAATGACCTTTTTATCTTGAGAACTATTGACATTTTTAAAGATATAAGCTCATCCCGATGGTACACTCATCAAGACTTTTCATTTGAGTATCCACATCAATTTTTCATATATTTTATATATTTATATATAATATATATGTATATATGAAAAATATATAAGAATGTACACTCATCAAGACTTTTCATTTGAGTATCCACATCAATTTTTCATATATTTTATATATTTATATATAATATATATGTATATATGAAAAATATATAAGAATGCATGTGGGTACTCAAATGAAAGGTCTTGATGGATGTAACATCGGGATGAGCTTATATCTTTAAAAATGTCAATAGTTAAAAAAGTACAGTGCAATTTAACATAATTAAGAAACGATCTTGTATCTTGAGGACTATTGACATTTTTAAAGATATAAGCTCATTCCGGCATTACACTCTTCGAGACCTTTCATTTGAGTACCCACATCAATTTTTCATATATTTATATATATTATATATATGTATATATGAAAAATATATCAAAATTGATGTGGGTACTCAAATGAAAGGCCTTAATGATGGTAACATCGGGATGAGCTTATATCTTTAAAAATGTCAATAGTTGAGAAAAAACAGTGCAATTGAACAAGATTCATTATCTAATTAAACAAAATTTTATTCATTCATAATTCACAAGTGACTGCAAGGTCGTTAGTTTTTATTAATTTCGACTCTTCAATCGACTTGGTGGAAAGAATTAAGAGTTAGTTAATATTCATTTAAAATTCAATAAATCTTGAGAAACATTGACCCATAAAAATTTTGAAACTTGATAGTTTTTAGAGAGAGCTCTTAAAACATAATAACTTTATATTATTTCATAAAATATTTCAAAAATAAAAAATATTAAATTTTTTGGACTGTCCTCTTATATAATATTATAAGGAAAAATAAATAACAAAATAAAATATATTTATTTTTAGTCCAACAAAATAGATTTTGACATGACTACAAGAAGACAAAGACCAACAATGAGAAGTCAGCGAGGCAGGTGTCAAGATTTGGTACAAAAAGCGGTTGGAGGTGTAGGCCAGCACCGCAAATTAATATTAGCTTCAGCATTAAACAAAGATTCGAGATATCACACCCAAAGTCTTGCATACGCCATGCCGCAGCCGACATTAGAGTTCGCAATGTTGTGTCTTAAGAACGCTCTGTTCACGTTGTCGAGGTCTCCTTACGAGGAAGCTACAGACAAGAGCGCCAAGTCGATGCTGATAACTCCGCCGTCTAGTTTCTTGTCAGAAGGAAATACCAGCGCTGGTCTGCTCAGCAGCGGGTCAACCTTAGCGACAGGCATAGCCGAAGACTCGACGACTACGCCAATGAACGCTGGAACCACGATCCAAATTCTCCAGGCTAAGTGGATGTCTGAAGCGATTAGTCTTAAGATCGCTATCCTAGCAGCCAGTGCGTACGTGTCACTGTGTCTGGGCGATTATATCTTGGCGTTAGAGCACGCGAGGATGCTTCTGAAGATTGACTCCTTGCCAGGTGCTTACAAAATGCTGGGAAACTTGTACGCTGCTGAAAGTTTGATCCTCATGGACAAAATTAATGAAGCGATCACGCATTTGAGGCTGCAGAATTTAGAAGACATCAGCACTATGATGCCGCCAGTTCTCATTCCATCTGAAGATGATGATGCTGATAATAAAAATGAAGCTAAAAAAGGTATTTGATTATTTTAAACGCTAGTCTATATTATTCAGAGAATAAGAAAAATTTTGTGTCCAGGATAGTCATACGATAAAATCGCTTTTTTAGTGAAATTTAGTTTCATTGCAAAGGTCTTAACTTGAATTTGTGCCTTTTGAAGGTTTTATATCATTCTTACCGATAGTCAATTTATTATGATAAGTATTTAGGCTGCATTCGGAAATACTCTATCTGTAGATACATAACTAAGAAATGACCCTGTATCTTGAGAACTGTTGACATTTTTATAGATAAAAGCTCATCTCGATGTTATACTCATCAAGACCTTTCATTTGAGTACCCACATCAATTTTTCATATATTTTATATATTTATATATATAAATTTATGAAAAATATGTGAAAATACATGTGAATACTCAAATAAAAGCTTTCAATAAGTGTAACATCGGGATGAGCTTTTATTTTTGAAAACATCAATAGTTAAGAAAGTACAGTACAATTTAACATAATTAAGACACGACCTTGTATCTTGAGAACTATTGACATTTTTGAAGATATAAGCTCATCCCGATGTAACACTCATCAGGACCTTTCATTTAAGTATCCACATCAATTTTTCATATATTTGTATATATTATATATATGTATATATAGTTACATATATGTATATATGAAAAATATATCAAAAATGCAAGTGGGTACTCAAATGAAAGCTCTTGATGAATGTAACATCAAGATGCGCTTAGATCTTTAAAAATGTCAATAGTTAAGAAAGTACAGTGCAATTTAACATATTTAAAAAATGACCTTGTATCTTGTGAACTATTGATATTTTTATAGATATAACCTCATCCCGATGTTACACTCATCGAGACCTTTCATTTGAGTACCCACATCAATTTTTCATATATTTATATATATTTTATATATTCATATATATTTTATATATTTATATATATTTCATATATTCATATATATTTCATATATTTATATATATGAAAAATATATCAAAATGCATGTGGGTACTCAAATGAAAGCTCTTGATAAGTGTAACATCGGAATGAGCTTATATCTTTAAAAACGTCAATAGTTAAGAAAATACAGTGAAATTTAACAAAATTCATTACTTAATAAAGCAAAATTTATTTATAGTTCACGAGTCACGGCAGTCACATAGTGACTGCAAGGTTGCTAGTATCTAACAATTTATTTAATTTAATTATAGAGTCATCGTTATCAGCTTCTTGGTTTCCTAAAAGTTTGAACACTGCCAAAGGAATTCTGAGGTACAATCTCGCGGTCAGTTATGCGATACGCGGAGAGCTTGATAAGTCTGGCGAGACACTCAAACAAGTATGGCTGTCGAAAGGCCCTGATTGCGATGTTCCTATTCATGTGATAATGCTTGCACTGTACATTGAACTTCAATTAGGTGAGACTGCTAATTCAATAATTATTCTTTTAATTAATCATCTAAGTCTAATTAACTTTAAATTCATTTCAGGGCACGACGAAGTCGCTAGATCAATTGTAAAACAGCATTGTCCACAATACTGGGCCTAGTTGTTAAACTCCTGAAGATATTTTAAAATTTTGTATATTAATTTGTTTAAAATAATAAAATTCAAAATTAATTTTTTTATAAATGTAAATTTGTTTATTAAAAAAATTATTTAAAAAATGTAAATAAATAAATTTCGTATAAATAATCTTAAAGGATAATTTAAATATATTATATCAAAGTCCTCTTTTTTTGAAAATATAACTACATCTAAAAGAACATAAAATACAATTAAAAAGAGTATCAGCTGTTGCAATATGTACGTCGGAAGTTATTGCGTGAGCAATGGACCTCAGGTTCTTCAGAGTGTATTTACGAATAACTTCTTCGAAGCAACTGCTTCCACACATGCTGCAGTAATGAGCATTGTCCATATAATCTACCAGAGTCGCTGGAACTATCGACGCGTCATAGTAAATTTGTTTATTAACAACCACGCGAGCTGCTAGTTCCTTCAGACTCATTATGTACGTCGTCTCTTCTGTAGACTCAGGCTGTGGGATTGGTGAAAAACATTTGGTGACGTTAAGAGTGTCTAATTGTAGATTTCTGAAGCTTCCTGGTAGACTTTTTAAATTATTCATTGATAAATCTAGATACTTTAGACGAGGTAGCACTCCAATACTTTCTGGCAATGTTTCTAGTTTGTTGGACGATACGTTGAGAGTAACCAGGCCTTTTAATTTACCCACTTGCTTTGGGAGGAATATTAGCTGTAATTAAAAAAAAAATAATTAATTATTTATTATTTTATATTATTAAGAGAATAAGCAAAATTTTGTGGCAAGTGCATTTATATAATTAAATGGGTTTTGATGGTTAAATTTGGTATCGTTGGAAAAGTCTTGATCTGGGGTTGTGCCTTTTCATGGTTTCTTATCATTCTCACTAATAATCAATTTATGATGATTACTTAGGCTGCATTAGAAAATGCACTATCTTTAGATACATAATTAAGAAATGACCTTGTATCTTGTGAGCTATTGAGATTTTTAAAGATATAAGCTCATCCTGATGTTACACTCATCAAGACCTTTCATTTGAGTACCCACATCAATTTTTCATATATTTATATATATTATATATATGTATATATGAAAAATATATCAAAATGCATGTGGGTACTCAAATGAAAGCTCTTGATGAGTGTAACATCAGTATGTGCTTATATCTTTAAAAATATCTATGATTAAGAAATGACCTTGTATCTTGTCAACTACTGACATTTTTAAAGATATAAGCTCATCTTGACATTACCCTCATCGAGACCTTTCATTTGAGTACCCACATCAATTTTTCATATATTTATATATATTATATATATGTATATATGAAAAATATATCAAAATGCATGTGGGTACTCAAATGAAAGCTTTTGATGAGTCTTACATCGGGATGAGCTTATATCTTTAAAAACGTCAATAATTAAAAAAATACAGTGCCATTTAACATAATTAAGAAACGACCTTGTATCTTGTGAACTATTGATATTTTCAGCGATATAAGCTCATCCCGATGTTACACTCATCGAGACCTTTCATTTGAGTACCCACATCAATTTTTCATATATTTATATATATTATATATATGTATATATGAAAAATATATCAAAATGCATGTGGGTACTCAAATGAAAGCTCTTGATGAGTGTAACATCGGGATGAGCTTATATCTTCAAAAACGTCAATAGTTAAAAAAGTACAGTGGAATTTAAGAAATTCTTGCACATAGTGCAAGGATGCTAGTTTAAAATAAAAACTTTTTAAAAATACTTACATTATTATCGCTTAAATCCAGCAACCGTAGAGTTTTAGTAATACTGGTCCCATTTAACCACAACCATTTGTTTTTAATACTTTGATAATTGTTGACAACACCAGGAGTCTCTCCCAAAAGATTCGATGCTAAATTCAGTTCTGTCAAACAAGCAAAAACGTTTCCTAGTTCTTTAGGCACAGAGGAAATCGCGTTGTTGGATAAATTTAAAATTCTCAGACTCTGTAGACGCAGCATTTGACGGTCGAAAGATTTTCTCCCGAGTCCAGAAACATGGAGCTCTTCAGTTGTCCTTGGAAATCCCTCGAGCACCGGGTACTCAGCCTTAGATCTAACAAATACCTTTTTCTTGGCAGTCGAAACAGGAAAACTGTTGGTCTTGGAGTTCAAATCCTTCAATTTTACCACGGTATCATCGCTTAATTTTTTATTAAAGCCCAGCTGCAAAGCTTTCAGAAAACTCTTCAATTGAAGTGCGTCGTTGCTCTTGATGTTCAGATCAACGGGAGGTTCTTTAAATCTAATTGTACTTTTACCGTCGTTTATAAATTTTGTAAAAATATTTTCGATGTTATCGTCAATCTATAAATTTTAATTTACGTAAATTAAGTAAGATAATTAATTTAGCAGATAGTTAATAATTTTAGAATTTTTTTAACAAATAAATCATGACAAAAAAAAATGAGAAAAAAATATTGACATGTAAAAATTAAAAAAAAAATGTAAATGTAATTTTTTAAAAATAATTTTTCAGATAAAATTTGTTTATTACATAAAATTAAAAAATTATTAAGTGACTGCTAACTTTAATGTCATATAAATTAAGTTGGAAATTGAAACAATAGAAATAAAAATAAATAAATAACATGAAAATTAAGTTAGCCGACATGTAAAAATTTTTATTACAGAAAAAATGAAAAAAAAAAAAAAAATTGTTATTTGTAAAAAACTTGAAAAACTTTAAGTGTATTTGAAAAAAATATTTTTTTGTTACATTTAATAAATAAATAAATGAAAAAAAAATTAGAAACGCCGGCTAACTTTATGAGAATTAATTTAGCAGATATTTTTTAATTTTAAGAATTTTTTTTACAAATAAATTATGTCAAAGAAAATAAGAAAAAAAATTGACATTTAGAAAATTAAAAAATGCAATTTTTTAAGAATAATTTTTTGGAGCAAATTTATTTATTAAAAAAGAAATTAAAAAATGGTCAAGCGACTGCTAACTTATGAAAATTAAGTTAGCCGACACTAAATAATTTTTATAATTTTTTTTTTCATTGAAAAAATTAGTAAAAAAAGATTTTCACTTGTAAAAAATTTGAAAAACTATAAGTGTAATTTTTTAAGAATATTTTTTAGTTCTAATTAAATAAATGAAAAATAATCAAAAAATTAGAAACGTCGGCTAACTTTAGATAATATGCTAACTTTAGTATTATATAAATAACATACCTTATATTTATTAATTATCTGGTTACCACTGTGAGGCTTAGATTGCAAAAATATAAACAATTCATCTTTTTTACATTGTTTACCAATTGACAGACAAGATTGTTGTGATTTTTTACGTGTTACATTTGATCCCGCCAATAATCCTCGATGGTTAACCTCAACATTACAAACTAGTTTCATTTTTATTTTATTTAGTGTTATTAATTATTAACTAACGGATTTGATCTTATGCGATAATACTGACAGGTTTTTACTAAATAAATTACAAATTGTAAAAAATAAATTTTATGTAAATATATAAATATAACCAGTTGATTGTGCTAGGAGAAGTTTTTAAACACAAGAGAAATGGTAATTTTTTAATTTTTCACGACAGTGCTGCCTCTTGGCAGTGTGGCCAGATCGTGCGATTTTTTTACCCCCACTTTGTACCGCTTTTCAATGTAGTCAGATGAGAGTGGCCTACAAAGTGGGGGTAAGAAAAGAGAGCACGTTTTGGCCACACTGTCTCTTGATAAGAATCACGCGAAAATGAGGAAAAAAAATAATTATCATTTTCCCGTGCCCCGTGCAAGTGCCGTGCAGGCACGGGAATGTGCCAATAGCCACACTCAAAAATGAAGCACCCTAATGTACATACAAAGCCATCTTTCGTTGTTTTAATATAAGTATGTACTGAAAATTTTTTCGCTTACTTGCTGTCGATAAAACAAACTTTTTTTTTTTTATTTTCATGACGAGTCTTTTGAGTATTACTTAGTTGATAGTTGACAAATTTAAGTAGAGAATCCGTGATAAAAAATTAATAATGAAGTGAATAATAATTTTATTAAGTCAATTAACGAATCTTTATTGTGTTTAAATAGTTTTTACTTATTATTGTAGTGTTAATTTCAATGAAATTACAATGCGCAACCGCCAAACAAAAATAATTTCGAATTAAATTATTAAATTTCGTTCCTGTCATTATTCTATTTATTTCTATTTATATTTACATTACTCATCTAGTCTTTTTAATTTAATTGAATTTTTTAATCACGTAAGTACATTTTTATCATCATAAACTTATATTGTGAAAACTAAATTAGCAGATATATCTGATTATAATTTTTAGGCTTTTAAAAACAAATAAATTACTTGCAAAAAAATATTTTTTAAAAATTATATCAATCATTTTTTTACACGTTTAGAAGTGGAATTTTTTTGTTAATTTATTTTATAATTTATTAAAAAAAAAAAATTATCAGATGTCAATTAATTTCAGTTTTATTTTTTATTTAACTAGTAATTTAGGTTATGAACTTCTATTTAATGGTTTTATGATAAAGTTATTATTATTTTTTATCTATCTATCAATTAACAATTAGTTGAATTGAGTTTGTGTGAGTTGAGAAACAATTACAAAGATACTATTTCGGCATATATTTTTTTTTTTTATAATGCATGATATAAATTTTAGTGTCTTGTCTTGTCTGACAAGAATCATCGTTATTTTTAGACCAACTTTCAATATAAATAATTTTAATTTATATGCTTTCTGATTGATGATTTTTTTTTTGTAATTTTTTAAAGACATATTGTCATTTGTTTAGAAGTTTTAATTGTTAATAAATTTGATGATATAAATTGAAACTTATAGTGTTTTTTAATTTTTATATGTAAAAATTTTATTTTCATTTTTTCCAGTAAGTAATTTATTCTTGAAAAAATTTTAAAAATTATCAGATGTCTAATAATTTTTTCAACAAATAAATTATAATACTAAAGTTAGCCAACATTTTTAATTTTTTAATTATTTTTTATTTATTAAATAAAAACTAAAAAATATTTTTAAAAAATTGCACTGATAGTTTTTCAAGTTTTTTACAAGTGAAATTTTTTATTTTCTTTTTTTTTGTAATAATTTTTCAATAAAAAAATTTCTGAAAGTTTTTAGATGTCAGCTAACTTAATTTTCATAATAAATTATGCAAAAAAATTGAAAAAAACTAAATGCAACTTTTTAAGAAATAATTTTCTAAATTGAATTTTTCTTTTAAGTACAATTGAAATAATTTGAAGTGTCTGTTAATTTTAGTCATATAAATTTATTACTATTATAAAAGAATTTTTCCAATAAAAATATTGCAGATATTTTCAATAAAAAAATGGAATTAACAAATAGCGAAGAATTTACCCTGAGCCCATCAGCTCCAAACGGCACTTGGGATCTATCTGAAAAAATGATAAACCTGGAAAGAGATGGTGATCTTCCGCCGACGTCTTCCTCAATAGAATTAGGGAACTCCAGTGAAGATGAATTGAATAAAAACAAAAAAGTAGATTTTGTCCTGGCTTATATGGATGACGGTAATTTATCTCATGCGCAAAAACGCGAAGAGTATCAAAGCGCGTTGCGTGATCAAGGTCTAGAATTGTACCATGAACAAACTGGATCTGTATGTTTCATTAAAATACATGCTCCTCAGGTAATTTTTTCCTTAAAAAAAATAATACTAAAGTTATAACTTGGCTATAGCTAACGTTTTTAATTTTTTGATTTTTTTCAACAATTAAATTAGAACAAAAAAATATTTTTTAAAAATTTCACTGACAGTTTTTAAAGTTTTTTACAAATTAAATTTTTTTGTAATAACTTTTTTAATAAAAAAAAAAAATTTTAAAAGATTCAAATATTATTTCTTAATACTTCAACTTTTAATTTTTACTATAAATTAATATTTATTTATTTTTAATTGTCCTCAGGAAGTTCTTTGTAGATACTGTGAGATAATGAAGCTTAAAATGCCAATAAAGTTACTGACAACAGATGCCTTAGAAGATAAACAGACAGATTTATTCGACGATGCGCGATCTTGGTTCATAAATTTATTCCGATTTGTTCAGCTGGACCCAGATAAATTTCCCAAGAAAGAACGGGCTCTCTTGACAGAATTCTCTCGAGACAAAGATTATTTGTAAGTTTGTATTTTACTTTTGAATGCAGCCTGACCATTTATTTAAAGTAGTTTACACAACGTAGTGCTTGAGTTAACTAGTTAAATTTCCTTAGATTCGATGTAGGAAATGAAAATTTTTTCCCTACGAATGTTCGGATTATGATAGTGGAGTTTATTTTGGAACGTCAGTGTGAGGGAATTCATCGACTTGTAGACAGTGGTTGTTATTCTGCCGCTTACCCACTTCATGATGTTAGTAAATTTCTTTATGCTTGCTTTAATTTTTATTTTTTACTTACTGCTTTGTTTTGGTAATTTGCTCTTACATTTAGACTTAATTTAATTATGAAATAACAATTCATCAAATAAATGTTTTTTTTTTCTAAATTTTAATTTATTAGAGCATTGAAAAGTGGGCTGGAAGTAATAATACATTTCATATAAATAATTGTATTAAAAAATCACTCTGCTTACTTTTATTGACTTAATTAAAAAATATTAATTATTAATTATAGGGAACTTACAAACAAAAAGGGACTGTCCGGGCTTTACTGTACGAAGAATGGGGAGCAGCAAATAAATGGATAAAAATCCAACCTCTGGATACAATACAGGAATATTTTGGCGTAACATATGCTATATACTTTGCATGGCTAGGATTTTACACATATATGTTGATACCAGCTAGCATCGTTGGGCTGTTATGTTTCTTTTATGGTAAGTTTCGTTATTAATTTAAAGTATTATGTGCACAGAATTAAAAAAAATCGGTTTTTTAAATTAAATTTAATTTTATAAAATAATGACTCTAGTTAAATTGCACTGTACTTTTTTAACTATTGACGTTTTAAAAGATATAAACTCATTCCGATGTTAAACTCATCAAGAGCTTTCATTTGAGTACCCACATGCATTTTCATATATTTTTCATATATACATATATATAATATATATAAATATATGAAAAATTGATGTGGGTACTCAAATGAAAAGTCTCGATGAGTGTGGTATCAAGATGAGCTTATATCTTTAAAAATGTCATTAGTTGACAAGAAATAAGGCCGTTTCTTAATTATTGACATTTTTTAAGATATAAACTCATTTCTATGTTACGGTAATCAAGAGCTTTCATTTGAGTACCCACATGGCATTTTTTATATATTTTATATATATGGTATTTGTGAAATATATAAATACATAAAATATATGAAAAATTGATGTGGGTACTCAAATGAAAGGTCTCGATGAGTGTAACATCGGGATGAGCTTATATCTTTAAAAATGTCAATAGTTCACAAAATATAAGGTCATTTTTTAATTATTCATATTTTTAAAGATATAAGCTCATCCCAATGTTCCACTCATCAAGAGCTTTCATTTGAGTACCCACATGCATTTTGATATATTTTTCATATGTACATATATATAATATATATGAATATATAAAATATATAAAAAATTGATGTGGGTACTCAAATGAAAGATCTCAATGAGTGTAACATCGAGATGAGCTTATATCTTTAAAAATGTCAATAGTTCACAAGATACAAGATCATTTCTTAATTATGTATCCAGAGATAGAGCATTTTCGAATGCAGCCTAAGCACTTATCATAATCAATTGACTATCGGTGAGAATGGTATGAAACTTTGACAAGGCACAAATTCAACTCAAGACCTTTACAATGACACTAGATTTCATTAAAAAAAACCGATTTTATCATATGATTATCCGCGAGACAAAATTTTTCTTATTCTCTTAATAATATAAATTAATAAATAAATCACTTAATTAATTGAGTGTTATTATATTTTCCAAGGATTGATATCTTTAAACTCGAATCAGACGGCGATAGACGCATGTTCACCCTGGGCAAACGATGTGATAATGTGTCCGCAGTGCGATTTCTACTGCGACTACTGGCGTCTCAATACAACCTGCATCCTTACCAAAGTAACATTGCTTTTCGACAATGAAACGACGATTGTTTTTGGAGCATTCATGTCATTTTGGGCTGTACTGTACTTGGAATTGTGGCGACGAAGATCCGAGGAACTGATCCACCGTTGGGGGCTGGTAGGCTGGGACCAAGGAGCTGATCATCCACGTCCACAGTATCTGAAGATGTTGAACAAAATAAAAATATTCAAAGCCAAAGAGAAGTTGAATGCAGTCACAATGGAAAAGGAACCGCATGTAAGCTTTTGGAAAGTTCGTGTCCCGGCGACGATGCTCAGTTTTACTGTTGTTATTATTCTGGTGCTGACTGCTCTTGCTGCGGTGTTTGCGGTCGTTTTGTACCGCATGTTCCTTAATGCTTCCAGTAAAATTTTTAATAAGCTCGATTTTGATAACACGCAGTATCAGAATTTTGCAATACCAGTTAGCGCAGCAGCTATGAATCTTGTAAGTATTTTTTATTTATTATAAAGAGTTAGTTGCAGTGAAAGAAATAAAAAAAATTAGTATTTTTAATCATTTTTTTGACATTAATTAAATATTTATACTGTTTTACTTTTGTTTGATAATATAATTATCCAAATTAAAAAACAAAAATTTATTCATTCTCAAGAAAAATTTTTTTAAATAATTGGATGTCCAGATTTTGTTAAGGTATCTCATAAACTATCAATTGAATTGATTTTTAATTTTCAGGTAAATATTTACAAGTGGGGTGAACAATTTTGATTTTCATTTTTTTGAAGGAAATTTCTATTTGATTTTATTGATATATTTTTTTTTGAAAAATACATAAAAAAATGAACAATTAAAAAAAATAGTTGATTATCACAATTTCAAAAAATTTTACAAATTTAAAAAAAAGTTTCTAAATTTTTTAGAAAATTGTGATATTCAACTTTTCTTTTTTTAAGTTGATCGTTTTTTTATGTACTTTAAAAAAAAATATATCAAGAAAAGATAAAATAGAAATTTTATCCAAAAACATGAGAGCCAAAATTTTTTCCAACTTTTGAAGGCAAAAAAGCTATCGAAATCTTTATTTTTTTCTTTCAGGACATTTTTAATCATAAATGCGCTGTAAAAACAAGCAGAATAAAAAAAAATTTGGAAATGTTAATTTTTTACCTAACTATGGCTCAAAATAGAGTTGACCCCACTTGTAAATAATTACCATGTTTTCGGGATATCATACTTGAAAAAAACAAAAATGAATTTTTTATTTCAAGCCTGACTGTATTTAACTCTTTTTTTTAGAATAGATATAGGTACTTTTTATTTATTTATATATTAATTACATTGTTTTTAGGTTTGTGTTTTAATATTAAACTATTTCTACGATTGGGTCGCGGTCTATTTAACAGAAATGGAAATGCCAAGAACTCAAGCGGAATTCGATGATAGTTTAACATTAAAAATTTATATATTTCAATTTGTTAATTATTACGCATCGATATTTTATGTTGCATTTCTGAAAGGAAAATTAGTCGGATACCCAAAAAAATACAACAGAATATTTAATTTTAGGTAAAGTAAAATAATTTGAGCCAAAAAATAACATTAAAAATATTTTTTGTTCCTTTTTGATAAATATATAAAATAATAATGTATAAAATTATCTTTTATTGTAGGCAAGAAGAATGCGCACCAGGAGGGTGTCTAATGGAACTCTGCATTCAATTGGCAATAATAATGGTCGGTAAACAAGCAGTTTACACAATAGTAGAAATGGTATTGCCAGTGATATTAAAATGGTGGGCGCTGTTCCGCGTTCACACTGGACTAAAACGCAAAGATCCAAATCTTCCGCGAACACGTTGGAGCCAAGACTTTCGTCTGGTCGACTGGGGACCTCGGGGTCTCTACGATGAGTACCTTGAGATGGTGATACAGTTTGGGTTCATCACTCTCTTCGTTGTCGCATTTCCTCTAGCTCCTTTGTTCGCGCTCGCTAATAATGTCCTGGAAATGCGATTGGACGCCACTAAATTTCTGCGACATTATCGGCGACCTGTTCCACGTCGCGCGAGAGATATCGGCATCTGGAAGCAAATTCTTGATGCTCTGGCTCGCATTTCTGTGACCACCAACGTAAGCAATTAATCGATATTATTAAGAGGATAAGAAAAATTTTGTTTCCAGGATAGTCATATGAAAAAATCAGTTTTTTAGTGAAATTTAGTGTCATTGCAAAGGTCTTGACTTGAATTTGTACCTTTTCAAGGTTTCATATCATTTTCACAGATAGTCAATTTATTATGATACGTATTTAGACCGCATTTGAAAATTCTCTATCTCTAGATCCATAATTAAGAAATGACCTTGTATCTTGAGAACTATTAACATTTTTAAAGATATAAGCTCATCCCGATGTTACACTCATTGAGACCTTTCATTTGAGTACCCACATCAATTTTTCATATATTTATATATTATATATATATGTATATATGAAAAATATATCAAAATGCATGTGGGTACTCAAATGAAAGCTCTTGATGAGTGCAACAACGAGATGAGGTTACATCTTTAAAAATATCATTAATTAAGAAATGACCTTGTATCTTATCAACTACTGACATTTTTAAAGATATAAGCTCATCCCGATGTTACATTCATCAAGACCTTTTATTTGAGTACCCACATCAATTTTTCATATATTTATATATTTTATATATTTCACAAATACCATATATATAAAATATATAAAAAAATTCCATGCGGATACTTAAATGAAAGGTCTCGATGAGTGTAACATCGAAATGAGTTTATATCTTAAAAAATGTAAATAATTAAGAAATAATCTTGTATCTTGTCAACTAATGATATTTTTAAAGATATAAGCTCACCCCGATATTACTCTCATCGAGACCTTTCATTACAGTACCCACATCAATTTTTCATATATTTATATATATTATATATATGTATATATGAGAAATATATCAAAATGCATGTGGGGACTTAAATGAAAGCTCTTAATGAGTGTAATATAGGGATGAGCTTATATCTTTAAAAACATCAAGAAAATACAGTGCATTTTAACAAAAGTCATTATTTAGAAAAGCACAATTTTATTTATTGTTAACCCAAAGTCTCGGCAGTCACGCAGTGACTACAAGGTTGCTAGTTTAACTTTAAATATTTTTATAAAAGACTTATAAACAGAAATAGTCAATAATAATGAAAATAATTAATTTTTTCTCATTAACAGGCATTTATTATCGCATTTTCTTCCAATTTTATTCCACGGCTCGTCTACATGCACTCAGTGAGTCCTGATCACACAGACGTTGGCTTCCTGAACCACAGTCTGGCCTACTTCAACACTAAAGACTTCCCTCCAGATTACGCACCACAAAACACGACATTTGAAAACGTCACCGTCTGCCGCTACGCAGAGTACCGAAATCCTCCAAATCACCACGAGCTTCCTTACAAACGACCGACGCTTTATTGGAAAATTTTGGCCTGGAGGTTTATTTTTGTAGTAATTTTTCAAAGCGTTGTTGGTATATTCACTATGATAGTGCAGTGGTGTCTCTCTGGGGTACCGAGGGAATTACGCGATCGTACGAAACGCGAGGCTTACCTAACGGAACAGATTATCATCACGCGAGAAGCTGAAAGGGCCAAAGTAAGAGCTAGATCTGTTAATCGATTCGTTTCCACTGGCAATCAGTTGAGACGACGGTCTACTAATGTCTCAGATTCAATTGATCTTTAAATTTATTTTATTAATTATTGACGGAAAAAAAATCTAAAATTATATTATTGTTTAGTTTCACGTCATCAGAATTATCATGAAAATTTGTGAAAATAAATTTTTTAATCAATTTTCAAATTTATGATTTTAGAAAAAAATTTTTCAAAAATGTCAATTCAAAAATTTTTTATTGTATTAAAAAAATTAACATTTGTAAAAATATTTTTCTTCTGAATTATTTTGTTTTTGATTAACATGAAAATAAAAAATATTATTTAAAAAAAAATTTGTAAATATATTTATATATTTTCATAGATTGAAGAATTGTGGAGCGTGAAATTAAATAATTATTGATATTAACAAAAATAAAATTTTAGATTTTTTCTTGAATAAATAATGACAAAATAAATAATTTTTAAAAATATCAATCAAAAATTTTTAACGCTTCCATATTTATAACAAAGTTGATATTAATTTTTTTACAATTTATGAATAAAAAAAAGTGATTTTGAAAAAAGTAATCAAGCATCAACTTCTCATCGCAATTATTGAATTACTGTCTTTAGCGCTTCTATCCTGTGCTTCTACACTTATAAATAAAAATGTGTGTGTAATGTAACATAATATTACTATGTATACTGTAATATACGGTCGACCTTTAAATTATCAAGTACCCTAGCACAGAAGCTAATGGCACGTGTATCTTACCTCATTATTAGTTACATTACATTACCATTACAAACACAAACACAAAGCTCAAATTCTATATATCTTAGTATAGTATCAGGGATAAAATAATTTGTCATTCTCTACGCATTATTGACCCCCAATGGAATTAAAAAAAAAATATTGTAATTTTGTTTCAACATCGTAATTATTTTTTTTTTTTTTTTTTTCATTACGAAATTTAGTATGCATTATTTATAGAATTTTTTCCGTGACATTGTTGAAATCTAAATGTTATTCTGTTGATTCCGTAAATTTACATAATTTCTATGCTTGAGGGTACGATGGATAGTGCTAGTAGACCTAGATACGATAAGAAATGCTTTTATAAATTTGATACGTTATAAATTTTATTTAATGTTTAATGATAATAATTGAGATGGTTTTAGTTCTTCAAAGGCGGTATAATCTGGTTTGCGCTCGGGTCTCAATTGAGGCTTTCATATAAATATAGTGATAGTAATAAGTAGAGTACAATACATAAAATAAAAGGTACTATTTATTTGAATTGCTTAGCTTTGTTGTTAAGTAATATCATTGTGTACACGATTTTTATGGAGTTTTATTAAAAAGATAAAATTAATCGATAGTGTAACTTCTACTAATGTCATTATTTTATTTCATTACTGTTCAATTTAAAATCATTATTATATTTTTTTTCTACTCAATATATTGATAAGAAAAATTTATTGTAAATATTTAATTTTGTCTGTTATTAATCAAAAAATTAATTTATATTTGTTAAGGGGACCTTCTGGTCTGACGCCCTGATTTTTGAACATTTTTTTGTAATTACCAATGAAGAGATAGAGCTTTGAAATTTTCACCATTCATTTATGAATATTTCAAGAGTATACAGTTAAATTTTTAGCTAAAAATATTCAGTAGAATTAAAGTTACAGTGGTCCGAAGACACGCGACTTGAAAAAAATTGTAGCTCATTTCCTTGAAATAAAAACACCCGGCAGGGTTTTATTCTGTATACTTAAATACGGTGAGTGAACTACGATCAAAAAAAAATTTTGAAAATTGGATTTTTAACAGACTTCGGAACAAAAACGTACGAATTTATATTTTTTTTATCAATTTTTTGATACAAAAAAAAAGTTCTATCTCTTCATTAATCTTTACAAAAAAAATCCCAAAAAATGTTAAAAATTAAGAGTCTAAGACCGGAGGACCCCATTAAGAAGTTATATGCACTTAGAATGCCAAAAAAAGCGATTTTTTTAAAATTATTTCTTTAGATTAATATAAAAATTCATTTTTAATAATCATATTTATTTTTTAACAAAGTGGCGGCTTGACAAAAAAAATAATTGATTTTTGATGAAAATTTTTTATAAAAAAATAAAATATTTATCGGAATAATTAAATTATTGATAAATGTACATGGAAAAAAAAATTTCTTGACTGAAGAACAAAATTCTTGGCTCAAGAAAATTCTCGGGTGCCTTAAGTTGTGTTGGCCAAAGTAAAAAAAATTTTTCTTGAAATTCTATTCTTGGTGGAAGTCATTTTCTCTTAATTCAAATCATCATAAATACTTGATACAATAAATTTTTATAATTGATCAAGATTTTTAGATACTTTAGGGAAGCAGCGCCACCTACTTCAGCTGAGAAAAAAATTTTCTCACCTTGAGAAAATTTTTCTCTTGAATATTTGATATCCATTTTATATTATTTTAGCGTGCAATTATACATATTGAATGAAAAAAAATAATGAAATATTATTTGATCTTCTCATTTGACATGTTAATCAATAAATATATTAATGAAAATTTACTTCTATCTTTATATTTAATTTTTTGAAGCAAGAGAGAAATTTTCTCAAGACAGGAAAATTTACTTCTATCAAGAACTAAATTTTTTGGAGCAAGAGGCTGAATTTTCTCAAAACAACAAGATTTTCTTGACTTAAATAAATTTTCTTGGATCAAGATACGTATATCTTAAAGCAAGAAAATTAATTTTGTTGGAATAACTGAAACTTCTTGTCAAAAAAAAAATTTTTTTTTCGCTCAAAAAATAATTAGCCAGAAAAATATTTTCTTGACTGAAACCTTTTTTTCTGTGTAGTTGAAAAAAATAATTGTGCAAAAGTTACAAAATGAATTTTTACAAATCTGAACATTGAATCTAAGTGCATAAAATCTCTTAGATAATTAAGTTTATTGTTAATCAGAAAAATAAATTTATATCCGTTAAAAAGAATAATGATTGATTGAAAAAAGTACAATTAAAAAAATAAATAATTTAACAGAGAAAGTGTAAATAAAATTGTATCATCGTGTCACTTAAATAAATCTTGTACAAAATGTAGGACAGACGAATGGAACCAGATACGATATTCGAGAAAACTAGAACTATAAACTAGATGAACCGGCGACATCGAGTCTAAACAAGTAGATTTATAATAAATACCGATCGGAAAGGAAGCTACCTGGTTATTTCAAAGTGAAATACACCTCCATATACACTATCAGTAAAAACGATCTTATTTACCTTTTTTAAATGGAATAAAATGAAAAAATTGAAGCTTAAATCACTCGTGTGTTAGTTATTGAGAAACTCGAGAAAATACTTTACACTTTGTATTATATTGTTCGGGTGAAATATTCAATAGACTATATATATATATATATGTATATATGTATCTGTACATATATGTATTGATAGCTTAAATCGTTTAAAAGTCACGAGCTCTCAGTCTTTCTCTATTACTATTATATATAAAAAATACTTGTACATCACATTGAGTTTCGAATTGTCTCGTCATGAAGGCGAAAGTTTTAAAAACTATTAAATGATACATTCATTACTTATTTATAAACACATTTATCATTAATTCATCGTGTATACTCTTTATACTCAACGGATAATTGATAAATTTTTAAGATTTATTTTTATTGTTAATTAATGTTCTTATTGCCGTGTAAAGACTCTTAGAAATTCAGTGTAAAATTTTTTGTTAAAAATTTATTTTAGTTTCTGAGAAAATGTGTTTTTAATTATTAATTAGTTTTTTTTATGTCAGTGATAAAATACAGGTTTATACAAGTATATACATTTTTTATAAGCGCAATTTTTAGTATACATTTTTGGGAAATTTACTTTATAAAAAATTTATATTTTTTAAAAATTACATTAATAAAACAACTCAGGTGTATTAAAATAAGCAATTTTTATGACAATTTAAAAATATTTATTTATAATCAAGTAATTTTTTGTTGTAAATGTAATTTGTATTTTAATAAATAATGTAATACTTAAATTAACAGATATCTAGAAATTTCAAAAAATATTTTTTTATATAAATTATTGTAAAAAAATGACTCTGAAGTTAGTCGACGTTCAAAAACTTTTCTTTTTTTTTTCAAAAATTAAATTGCAAGTAAAAACAATACTTAAAAAAAATTTCAACGTATAATTTTTCAAATTTTACACATGTGAAATTTTTTCTTTTAATTTTATTGTAACAATTTTTTCAATAAAAATAATTATGAATATTTTCAGATTTCGGCTAATTTAATTTTTCATCTGAAGTTAGTCAGACGTCTAAAAATTTTTGATTTTTTTTATTAATTAAATTACAACTAAAAAGATATTAGTCGACGTTCAAAAACTTTTCTTTTTTTTTTCAAAAATTAAATTGCAAGTAAAAACAATACTTAAAAAAATTTCACGTATAATTTTTCAAATTTTACACATGTGAAATTTTTTCTTTTAATTTTATTGTAACAATTTTTTCAATAAAAATAATTATGAATATTTTCAGATTTCGGCTAATTTAATTTTCATCTGAAGTTAGCAGACGTCTAAAAATTTTTGATTTTTTTTATTAATTAAATTACAACTAAAAAGATATTTCTAACAAATTGCACTCATAGTTTTTTATGTTCTTTACATGTGAATTTTTTTTTTAATTGTTTAATTGAAATTTTTTCAATAAAAAATTTCTAAAAATTTTGAAATGTCGGCTGACTTCATTTTCATGTAAAAAGTTAAAAAAAAATTTTTTAGATGTTTTTTAATTTCAGTAATATTAAGCAAAAAATTTTTAATAAAAAAATCTAAATATCTTTTTTAAATAAATTATTAAAAAAAAATTTTAATTTTTGGCGCCAAAATATCTCCCTCTATCATCACCTTGGTCGCCATGACAGTTTCCAGTCAGCGGTCCAGCGGTCAACACGTCTCGCAATCGCTCCGTGCAAAATTACCATTTTTCCTATAAAATCTCCTTAATTAAAGTCCAGCAGTTGAAAAATCTAGTAATAAACATTAAACAAT